CTGCCTGGAAAACACGGGGCTCTACCGGCAGGTTTTCCCAAGGCTTTCAGCGTGTGCTGCTTCAAACCGCAGATGCCGGAGGCCTGTGACTTCCCAAGGAGCTCAGCTTTCGTGCTCTAAAATCTTCCTCTTAAATTTCGTCCTTATTGTTGTGGTGGTGGTGAAGTTGAAAATGCAGCTTTGGAGCTACAGCATGGACGGAAACCAGTCCATGAGGGGTTTTCTGGGGAAAAAAAATAAAAATAAAAAAATCTCATGAACCTTTACACTAATAGGTGGGTGGTATGGAGGAGAATGGGAAGTCCTGCACTGTGATTTCTCTTTATTACTTGGTTTAGTGGCTGAGGCTAGGCTAGGGGAAGCAAGGATGGGCTGTGGTTGCTCCGGCAGCCTCTGCCTGCACATCTCTTCCTTTGCTCTCTGCTTTTCAGAGGTCGACTTCTTTCTGCCACGGTTTTCCTGGCTGTGTGGAAAATGGGTTTGCAAGTGCGAGCCCTACGTCCTGGGGCGTGCTGAGCCTCCCAGCCAGCATTGCCGCCGTGCCTCTTGCGTTGGCTTTCCCACCCTTTTGAGCTAAGGCAGCTCCTTCTTTTGGGGGCACCTCTGGCTCACTCCATCCTTCTTCAGAGGAGAACATCGGTCTCCTTGGAGCTGCCTACAAGTACGAGTGCCTCTCCCACGCTGCCACAAGCAGGAGTAGTACCTTTCCGCAGTGCAGAGGTGGGGAGGGTGCCTCCTCCCTGCTCTCTTCCCCTTGGTTTCCTCATCCCGTGTCTCTTCCAAACTGGACAGGATGGAGCTGGACAGGAGACCAGCCCTGTGGCTTTCCTGACGGCTGCCAGGGGCTGCTGACTCGGCTTAAGGCATGGCTTGGCATTAAATGACTTGATTGTTTTCTGTTGGTAGGGGAAGTGAAGCTGGGCAGTACCGAAATTCGCCGCTCGTTTCCTTTCTGCCTGCGATTTCAGAGGTGACTTCTGGTGTAGTCATCTGTTTATTCCTCTCGTTAGTCCGGTGGCTTGTTCCTCCATCCATCATCCAACCGATGCAGTGAGGAACGTGACTGGGAGAGGACAGAGAACTAGCTGTCTTCGAAGAGGGAGGAAATGAGCGCTGCATTTTCAACCAGCAGCCTGCTGGCGCTGGCTCCCAGGGCGGCAGGAAGCTCTTTTTTACCTTCGTAGACTTCACGGATCACAGCCTGATTTCCTCCAGGGCTCTCCCTGGCTTTATCGTCTTGATGTGGTGTGTTTGCACTCCTGGCCAGCACGTCGCTCTCCGCCTGCGAGTGACGCTGCTGCTTTGGGATGCCCGCTCCGGGATGCTGCTCCCGCCTCACTCTTGCAGCACGCAAATCCTCTCTTGTGCAATGGAGAAATGTTTCCCTTTGTCCCTTTTTGATATTTGCTGTGCTATTAAAATGCTTCCCCACCCAACACATATATGCACTTTGACTTATTAGCTTTCTCTTTTACCCCCCCCAAAAAAATCTTTCTAGCGCTTAAAGCTGTCAACTTCCTTTTTTTTTTTTTAATTTCTCTGTTGACTTGAGTAGGCAGGGCTGAGTGTTAGCTTCCATCTGCCTCCCAGTTGGAAAGGGAAGCCTTAAGAGAAAATGAGGATGCTTTCAGCCCACATTCCCAATGCCCACCGGGAGGGGCTGCGGGGATTGTGAGAAATTCCTGATTTTTCTCTCCCTTCCACGTTAGTAAAAACTTGTGCTTTTGGAGAAAAAAAAACAAACAAACAAAAAAAAAAAAAAAAACAAAACCAGCAAAAAAAATTGCTGTAGTTCAGGCAGCTAAACAAAATATAAATGGAAACCAATTGGATAAGTAGTTAAAAAAATAATCTGGCTTTCAGTGCCATGTTTTGCCCAACACCCTGTGCCTGCCCCTCCTGCCGTACCTATCTCCGTGGGTCAGAGCTCGCCCTTAGGTGTGTTTATCTGCAGCACGCTGGAGCCTTGACCTCACGTAGGGCCCCCCCTGGGTCCTGCCTGTGGTCTGAGGAAAGCAGATGTCCCCGGAAGGACCCCCAAAAAACCCCGGCGAGGAGAATCCGCTGCCCCGTGAAGGTGACCGGGTCCTTCGTTGGCACGATGCCCCGGCCTCCTCCGTAGCTGGGTGAAGAGCTACGGAGTTTTGCTTTCCCCCTTTCCTAAATACATGAAGCCAACTCGTTTTCAGCGAGCGATGGATTGCCTTGCCTGGATAGCTGCATCTTCACCGAGTTTCTGGTCGCTGCGCTGCTTGAGATCCCATCTCTTGGGACATCTGCTTGGACCAGCAGCAGAATCCAACTAATCACGGCAGGCAGGTAGCATCTCGACTTTCTGCTGATCTTATCTGGGGTGCCCAGCTTCTCCCCAGCTCTGCTTGCCGTGTCTTAGGGAGGTGGCTTCGTATCATGTGGGGCTTTTTTCAAGACTGCCTTGTTTTCTTACCGCCCAAGCATTTCACCCCCGAATGCCGAGCAAAATCTGGCTTTCATAACAGAAGGGGAATGGGCTCTGTCTCCCCTGCGTGAGGAACGTGCTTGCTATAAAAAGATAGCTGGAGGGAGGAACCTGGAAGGGGCAGCGAGGGCTCTGCTCTCAGCGAATGCAGGAGAGGGGAGGTTGCCTGTGACTCCTGGACAGCTAGCAGCTTTGCGGTTGCAGATGCTGGCCGGTATTTTTGGAGACCTGTGGAAGAGATTGTACTATTTGATGTTCTTTTCTGGCACACCAAGTAAGGAAAAACCACTCTGCTTGCTTTTTTGGCTAAGTGACTCTGGAGTTCTGCTAGAGTGCCTTTATTTTTTTTTTTTTTTTTCCCCTAGGATTTTCAGAGCCTGATTTAGCTGAGTGCTTCAGTACGTGCTTATTTTTAAACCTAATCCTGTCGTCGTCTGAACTCATCGTGCTTCAATTCCTCAAATGGCCACGGACTTGGGCGAGCGCTCAGAATTTAAGCGGATGCCGAAATGCTTTCCTCACCAACAGCTGTGAGATTTGGAGGACCTTGGCCAGGGAGAGTAGGGGTCAGGGTGGGAGACGAGGTACCTTACCTCTCACCCTCTCCGTCTGTGGGATGGCGAGAGACTCGTCCCTCTGTTCTCCTCCTTCCCTGGCACCTAAACCCCCTGGCAGTGCTGTGAGCGTGGTGGGATGGTCCGGGTGGCCCCTTGCAGCTGTGCTGCAGGGTGACACTTGGAGCTGGTGACCTCCCAGATCTCGGTGGGGACAGAAGCACCACCCAACGCCCAAAAGGTCAGGCCTGGTAAATTTGATGCATTTGACTCTGCTCCTTGATGATCAACTTCTCTTTTGAAGAACTAAGACTGCTCTGCTGGCACATGGGACTCCTTTTAACCCGCACCCTCGCTCTTTTTAGATGGGTCCCTTCTGCCATAGAATGTCTGGGTTTGCCACATCCCCGTCTTGCTTTAAGCTTGAGAACTTGTGCTGGGTGCTTTCCTGGGAAAACACATTCTCTTTTTACGCATGTGCTTGCCAGCGGGTTTTAACGCAAGCTTTTAATTGCCTGTGGAAATAGGATTAAGCATCTTTGGGGAAACAAAATATGTGCTTTCCGGGGGTTTGAAGCCCTCGGGTTGCCAGTGCTAGAAGGCCATGTATCTTCCAAAAAAAACGGTGGTTAAAATGTTTTAGCTGACCTCTTTCTCCTGGCTGGACAGCGGCTCAGTAATGACGAGGTGATTTAGGCTCTGGGAGCCGTACGTGCCGGGGTGTGCTCCAGCAGCAGGGTTTGGGCCGGGGGGAGCCAAGCCCCCGCCCCGGGTCCTCTGGGGTTTTCGGAGCAGCCCGTCGGTACGGGCGTCAGACCCCTCGGAGCTGTCAGCGCCGTTGTCGGGCTTCAGCAAGTTGTATCGTGCGGCTGTTGTGTTGGCAGGTAGATTATCACCTAATCTAGCATCTTCCCTGGGACGGACAGACAGACAGACGGGCTGACCCTGCTGGAGCAGAATATAGACCTACCCCCTCCCTCTCCATGGGCCATTTTAATCACCTGCCTCTCCTCTGCTGAGGAGGAGTGCGAAGAAGTGGATTTTCAATTTTAGTTAGCAAGTTTCTGGCTTCCTGTCGCTTTCCTTGGCATTAATTTTTCTTGCTCTGGGTGAAGGATTAGAGGTGAGAATCTGCTGCCTCCCCTTGCCTTGTCTTCTCAATATTTTATAGTGTCAGGGGAAAAAAAACCTATAAAAACAGAAAACAACTAGAAACCTGCTTTTTTTTTTTTTTCCTCATTTCTCTTTTTCTCTCTTTTTTTTTTTTTTTTTTATTTTGTCTCTTTCTTTTCTTTTCTCATTTTTTCTTTTGCTCTTTCTCCTTTTTTTGCCTTTCCTCTTCTTTTCTTTTTTTTTTTTCTTTTCCTCTTTTTTTTTTCCTCTTTCCCCCCCTTTTTCTCCTTCCCTCACTTTTTCTTCTTCCCCTTTTTTTTTTTCTCTCCCCCCCTTTTTTCTCTTTCTTTCCTCCCCCTTTTTTCTCTTTCCCCCCCTTTTTTCTCTTTCCCCCCTTTTTTCTCTTTCCCTCCTTTTATCTCTTCCCTCTCCCTTTTTTCTTTTTCCCCCCCTTTTTTCTTTCCCTCCTTTTTTCTCTTCCCCCTCCCTTTTTCCTCTTCCCCCCCCTTATTTTTTCCTCCATTTTTTCCTCCATTTCCCCCTCCCTATTTTTCTTCCGTCTTTTTTTTTTCCCCCCCCCCCTTCTCTTTTCTCTCTTCTTTTTTCTTCCCGCCCTGATGTCAGTCCCCTTTCCCCCTCTCCCACCACCGCCTGCCCGATGCTCTCCAACCCTCCCACCGCTCTCCTGTTCGTGCTGACTAACCCTCCCCAGCCCCCCAAATCGCAGCCGCCCCGCTCGCACACTTCACCCCGCTCCCCTCCCGGGGTGCAGCCGCCTCCCCCTCCCCGGGGCCGGGGGCGGGGGCGGGGCCGGGGGCGGGGCCGCCCCGAAGAGGCGGTTCCCGCCGCCGCTATAAGCGGGGGGGGCAGCGGCGGGCAGCGCTCAGTCCCTCCGGCAGCGCTCGGCGCCCAGGCAGCGGGAGGTAAGGGCTTGGGGGGGCCGGGGGGAGAGAGCGGACCCCCGGCCAGGTTTGGAGGAGCTGCGGGGTGTGGGGGGGGTGCGCGCCACGGGTGTCCGTGTGCCCCCAAACCGCGGCGGGGGGCTGGAGCAGCGTGGCCGCCGCAGCCGAGCTCCCTCGGCCGGAGCTGCGGCTGCATCTCCCCCACCCCCGCCAGCACGTTTGGTTTGAGGGGGGTCTGGGGGGGGGGGGGGGTGGGTGGGTTGTGCGTGTGTGTGCTCCTCTTCTCGCACCCCACCCGTGGCCGGGTTAGCGGGGCTGGCTCACCTCGCCGTGGCGGGAGGCTGGGAAACTCCGAGATTTTTGGAGTCCACCTGCTTCGGGCCACTGGCCCGGCACTGGGTGCTGCTCGCCCCTGGGTGCTCCTTCCCCCCGCCTGCCTCCAGAGCCGCGGGGGACGCCTGTTGCCCCCTCCCCTGTCCCCTTCCCCCCCCCCCCCCCCCCCTTATTTATTTCTTTTTCATCTCAGAACTGCAGAAGAGTGTTTAAACGTGCGGGGCTCAGACTTGCAAAGCCCCTTGAAGGCATGAGTGTCCTGCAGGGGCCAAACGGCCTGGGAGGGATCCCGAGGGAGGGTGCTGGAGGACCGGGCTGGTGCTTTGACATGAGAAGGGTGAAGGTGCGTGGGTGACAACATCACCACCCGTCCTGGCTTTTCCTGACACGGCTCCTTTCCTTCCCCACTCGGGAGGGCAAAGCCCAGTTTGCCAGCAGGTCTGAGTGCACTGCGGGATGCTCTGGGTGGGAAAGGGGGTGCTGAGAAGTACCCCAAAGTGTCGAGGGTTTAAATACAGCCCCACAGTGCTAGGTTGCCCTCCTAGGCAGGGACGCTTGTGCCTGTTCGCTTCTCCCCAGCCCGCAGCGGGTCCTAGGTGGGATGGGGGAGAGTGCAATCCTGCAGGCTCCATCGGCACCAGGTGACATCTCCGGGTGCCTGCAGCAGGATTTTGGGTGCCTCTCCTTTCCTTCATGCCGTGACTGCTGCGAGCGAGCAGGGGACTGGCCGCAGCGCACGTGCCTGCCGGGTGAAGGGGTGATGGCCTGGGAGAGCTTTGCAGCACAGCGGACGCAAAACACCATTCCAGCTGCCTTCACAAGTTTTTAGGATATTGTGCTGTCTGCAGAGAGCGCTAAAGGTATTTTTTTTTTTTTTTTTGAGGAGCACAGAGTGGCTTTTATTGAGTTTGTCTAGTGGGTTTCCCCCCCCACACCTCCCAGCTAATCTGGGTGGGAATCAGAGTTCGGGTTACAGCAGCTAATCCCAGACTATAGAGAGCCTGGCCTCCTAAAGGTGTAATCTCTGAATATAGCCATCCTCCCCAGCAGGATTTTGAGCCTGGGAGGCCGTATCGGTTTCAGATTTTTATTACCGTGCTGGGGATGCGAAAGCGCACAGGCGTGCGGGCGGCCCCGGGCAGATGGATGCACGTGCATGCAGCAGACCTGCTCTTGGAGTGCAGGCTGAGATTCGGGCTGAGCCCCGTTTGTTTTCGGTAAAATGCCCCCGGGGTGGTTCTGAGCGAGCAGCTGAGGTGGTGGTGCCCTCTCCTAGCTCCTGTCCCCAGCGCTGCTGGGAGCCCCAGCTTCAAGGGCTTCTTGCTGCCCTGTTGCCGCCTCCCTGCTTGCCCTCGTTGTTCCTCTGTCAGAACCAGCCATCTGACATCCCACAGCCAGGGCTGAGTTCCTTCTCCGTTACGGGATGTGCTGGAGGCTGGGTGGTGGGTCCTGGAGGTTGGTTTGAATTGGGGTCTTGAGATGTGGAATGACCCTGCTCCCCTTCTTGGACCACATGCCTTCCCAGAAGATGCTCAGGCCCTCCCGTGCTCCTTCTGTTGGGTGTTACAAGGGTAGCAGGGTGTTCCTCCAGCTTTGCTCACCTCGCTGTCCACAAATACCAGCAGGAGATGGTGGCCTGTGCCACGAGGCTGGGAGCCTGGTGGCTTTTAGGGAGATTGCTTTAGTTGCTGTGGGGTTTCGAGCTACAGGGACTCGGGGATGTTGTGCTTCTCCCTGCACCTGAGAGGCCTTGAAAAGCGTTTGTGCTGGGGACGCAGCAGTGGTGGTGGGACCCAAGGTGAGGTCTAGCAGGAGACCCGTCCCTCTTACACTTGCAGCCCCGGGCTGAAGTGAGTGGCCCTGGGGAGCTGCGCATCCCTGCAGGGTACAGGATACATCCCCGCGGCTCTGCAGGGAGCAGGGTCAGCCCTTCTGCCCGGTGTCAACGTGGGTTAAATCACCCTCTGCTTCCCTGAGCTGGAGATGGGAGATCATCTATCCCAGGACAGAAAGCTGCCACTGTCTCAACTCCCTCTTTAGGCGGCGTTTTAGCAAAATCCACGCTTAATTTGGTTTGGAATCTCACCTCTGTCTTGCAGCAGGCCGCAGGATGAAAGCCTGGAAGGCTGCGTCGGTTTGAAGCGATAGGCTAGATCGCCTCGTGGGGCCAAATTGGGTTGTGTTTGTGGAGAGATTTGACCTCCCCCCTGGATGTGTGCAGGGCCCCCCCTCATTGTTAGTGCCACCAGCTTCCCCTCCACTGGGACAATAGTGCCTGGAGTCCTCCCTGGTAATCTCCCCCCCTTATCTCCCTTCTCTTCCGCAGCCTGTATCCCTGGCGGGCGGGGAGGGTGGGAGGTTTGGGAAGAGCCGATTATGCAGATGGAGGAGCGAGAGATGCTGTGTCAACCAACAGCCCTTTTCGGGGAGCCGGGGGCGTGCCTGAGCTCTTCCCTGCTCGCTGTCCCTTCCATGCTCCCCTAAACCCCACCAGGAGGTCCTGCGGTGGGGTCGAGGACGTTCACAGATACAGGTGGCTGCGGGATTGGTTTCCCCTCGTTGCTCTCTCCAACCGCTCGCTCATGCTGGCGTTGTCCCCCGGGCTGGGGTGGCATCAGGGGGTACCCCTCGCTGCTGGGGGCATGGGGAAAGAAACAAGGTGGCCACCATTCGGGATGCTGGAAGTACCCACGGCGGGGACTGCGGGTGGGCTGGCTGACCCGATGCTCCGGCTCCAGCCAGGGGAACGAGATGGGGTCCGTCCCTTGGAAACCCACCTTTCCCTCTTTATTTTGGCTTCCCCCAAGCTGGAGCCTGCAGATACAGGGCTCCAAGACTTGTCTGGCTGAAGCGTGGCAATCACGGGCCAAGGCTGCTGTGGGTGGTACTGTTGGCCCTCTCGGGTGGGAGGGTCCCAGCGGGGAAGGCAGCATTTTTATGTCGCTCCAAAAGCACAAGGGTAATTAGCATCCTGGCTTCGGATTTTGTGTAAGCCCTGTGGGTCTGCTGGAGCCCTTCCTTCTGCTGGTGAGGAAGTTAATGAAGAGCCCCTTGCTTTGTCCACTGCCTGCCAATGGGAGAAGGGGCTGAAGAGGCAAAAAAAGTACATGTAGAAAAGCAATAGGGTGGGGAGGAAGCAGTTGTTGTGGAACCAGCTGTGATGGAGGAGTGTTTTGTAAATCAAAGGTCTCTCCTAAAAAGAAAACTTAATTCCAGCAGGCCTACTCAGCAGTCAAGCTCTGACTGTTTTTTTTTTTTTTTTTTTCCTTTTCTCAAAGCTACGTGATAATCATTAAACACAGGGGATGCTTTGTAAAATAGAATTCAAGGGAAGGAGGGAGGATGGAGCAGGATTTAAATTTAAAATTGGACGAGGGTACAAAGCCCCTTAGTTCCCCATTTCTGCTTAATGCAGCTGGAGCTGGGCTTGACAGGATGCTGACCAGAGCTTGTGGTAAATGTTTTACAGTACTGTGTATCAGCCAGATCAATTCTACTATGCTTGAGGGAGTGCGGATAAAATGGCTTAAAGATTCCCCTGCTGAAAGCGATAGTGTCATCATTTATGTTGGAGAAGACAAGATTTAGTCGCCTGACATTTATTTGGCCATGGTGTACTTTGCGGATTTCATACCCGGGGACGATAGCCAGCCTGATGATGTCAGAAGTGAGCTACAAGAAAAAAACAAAACAAAACAAAAAACGCTCCCCCCCCCCCAAAAAAAAAAAAACCCAAAAAAACACCAAAAAAACCCCAAAAAACATCGCACAACAAGCTGGTGCTGTTCGTTTTTTGTTGACCAGATGACTTTTGCTATACATCTGTTTTGATTGTTTTACTCCATGGATTTCTTTAATGGAAAGTGCCTTACAAGAGTAGGAAGTTACTAAAACAGAGCATCCTCCATGTGCTTTGTGGTACGAAGGCGGCAGCAGAAATATCTCTGTTAACTTAGGTTGTTTCTTTTGATCCTAATTTACCTGTAGGTCACCCGAACTCCAAACTGAGCGAACATGAGTGCACTTGATTTGACTTCCATCCTCGATTTCCTGGAAACAGCCAACTTGACGGAGATCAACTGGACGTGCAACAACGGTGACTGCATCACAGTTGATGCGACAACATGCCCTGGCACGCTCAACAAAAGCGCCCTGCTGTACACCCTGTCCTTCTTCTACATTTTCATCTTTGTCATAGGGCTGGTGGCCAACTCAGTTGTGGTGTGGGTCAACCTCCAAGCCAAAATGACCGGCTATGAAACCCACCTCTACATTTTTAATTTGGCTATCGCCGATCTGTGCGTCGTCATCACCCTTCCGGTGTGGGTCGTCTCCCTCACCCAGCATAACCAGTGGCACATGGGAGAAATCACATGCAAGATAACTCACCTTATATTTTCCATCAACTTGTACAGCAGCATCTTCTTCCTGGCTTGCATGAGCGTGGACCGCTACCTCTCGGTTGCCTATTTCACCAATTCCAGCAATCGCAAGAAGAAGATAATCCGTCGCTGCATCTGCATCTTAGTGTGGCTTCTTGCCTTCTCCGCATCTCTCCCAGACACCTATTACCTCAAGACGGTCTCTTCCAACAACGAAACCTATTGCCGTCCCGTCTACCCAGAGGAGAGCTTCAAAGAGTGGTTGATCGGCATGGAGCTCATCTCCGTCGTGCTGGGATTTCTTATCCCTTTTCCCATCATTGCTCTCTTTTATTTCCTCCTTGCGAAGACCATCTCTGCCTCCAGTGACCAAGAGAGGAAGAGCAACGGGAAGATCATTTCCTCCTACGTTGTCGTGTTTCTTGTCTGCTGGCTACCCTACCATGTAGCTGTCCTGCTGGACATCTTCTATAGCCTTCATTTCATACCTTTCAGTTGTCAGATGGAGAACTTCTTATACGCCACTCTTCACATCACTCAGTGTTTCTCTCTAGTCCATTGCTGCGTCAACCCCATCCTGTACAGCTTTATTAACCGCAACTACAGATACGAGCTCATGAAAGCCTTTATTTTCAAGTACTCTGCCAAAACTGGTCTCACTAAACTTATCGACGCTTCCAGGGTGTCGGAAGCAGAGTACTCGGCTCTGGAGCAAAATACCAAATGACTGCAACCCCACAAAGAAACCTCCTTGACTCTCTGACCTTTTATTTTTGCGTGTTTTGGTTTTGTTTGTGGGTTTGTTTGTTTTGTGTTTTTTTTTTTTTTTTTGGTCGGTTGTTTTTTTTTTGTTTGTTTTTTTACCCCCCCTTTCCCTTGTGCTTGTTATAAACGGGGCATGAATTCCAGCCTACGAAAGAGAAATAGCAAACTGTAATTTAAGAGTAGAACCGAGTGCAAAACGGAAGTGGTACCAAAATTAAGCCTTTTGTTGATGTGTTCTCTTTGATCTCCTCCTATCCTAGCCTGGTCTGGACTTCTTGACAACGCTATGCAAATGGAAATGACTTTCTAGCAGACAAAGCCATTGTGTACCGTAGATAACCATGCATTTGCAGGATAAGCTTTTTCTTCCACGTGTAGATTCCCTCTTGTCTCCTTGTATATGTTATATATATAGTGTGTTGTATTTAAAAGCTCGAGACTTTATTTTCTGGCTCTTGGTGTACCTTATACAATTGTATTTGAAAGTAAAATATATTTTTATCATGTATTTGAAGTATATTGCTGATGAGTGTATCCAGAGTGCTGTAGTCTGAGTGTTAGATTGCCATTTGGTTTCAAGTGTCGTAGGAAAGAGGATGCCAATAAATAGCAGAATGGAAATGATCTCTTAGGTGCATCCGCCCTGGCCGGCACGCTTTATTGACTGTAGCTTTATGTGGTGGTCATACCCCCATGTCTGGAGCATGAAATGTATGTAGTGTAATATAGTTACCATCATGTTAAAATTAACAGTATTGTAAGAGTTGTTAACTCCTACGCCCGTACTTCACGAAGCTGTATCCTTATGCACAGAATGAATGATCTTCTGAGAGTTGTCTCTATTTGTAAGTTATTTTTGTAAAATAAAGATCTGAGGGGAAAAAAAAAAAAAAAAAAATCTGTGCCTACCAGTGGTTTGACTTGCCATCCTCCTCCTCTTCCTTAGGGGGAAAAAAAAAAAAAAAAAAAGTTAAAAAGGAGAAATCCCAAAGCCACCTTCCCTTCCCTCCTTTGTTTGGGGCAGGAGCAAACAGGTCAGTCTGTATTTTCCTGATGTTTGTTGACAGTGGGCAGGAACCATTGAATGGAGGAATGTGAGACAGCACCGGTGGTGCGTGGCGAGAGGGGAAGGGGTGGGAGGAGCGGGTCTGTGGGAGACTGTGCTGCTTGGGAAGGTAAAGCCGATGGATTTGTAAGGCGAAAGCTGCCGGGAGCGATGGAAGGCTGTGTTTGGGGCTTAGAAGTAAACATGTGGAAGAAAAATCGGGAAGTACGCAGATGGAGCGGATATTTTGACTAATCCAGGTTCAGTCCTCTGTGGTTTTTGCTTGTGATGGAATTTCGGGGGTTAGCAGTCCTGACAGCATTAAATCCGTTTTTTTTTTCACTCTTCTTCTCTTTCTTGGTTTGCATTTAATTTGTAACGCAGTATTAAGTGTGGGGCAAGATTCAGCCGCTGCGGGAAGTACGAAGTAGAGATCTTTAAGCCAGTGAAGCACCTGAATCGTGGTCATCTTCGTCTCAGGACAAGGTAACTAATGTTAAATCAATGATGTCTTGCAGCCACTGCTGATGCTGTTGCTAGTTTGCATGTTTTGCAACTCTGGCACGGTGCTAACTGCTCTTCTGCAAAGCCTACGCTTAAATTCCTATTAAATCAAAGCATGCCCTCACCCTCTGAGATCCCAACAGCCAAACAATTTTGTGATGACTGTTTTGTTTCTTTCTACATGTTACTGCCTCCTCAAAGGTGATCCTATAAAAACAGATGTTTGCCAGCACTGCAAAGCATTCCATCCCCTCCTTGTACTTGGTGTTTCTGAAAAAGCACTGGTCCATCACCAAATGGAGGAGCTGGTTGCAGAGAAGGGCTGCCAGCACGACTTTCACAGCGTCGCTGCACAAGTATAGCCTTTTGGGCTGATGCTTCGTGTAGGAGATGGGTATTTTTTGAGCTTCCCATAAGCCTTTCTTAAGGTTCTGCTGAACTGCAAGGAAACTGCTCCCTCATGCTGATAGTTCAGAGCAGAGGTGGTGTGTTAATACTGAGAAATGAAGGTTCCTGGTTTAGCTGGGCGTTGCTTCCCGTCCCCCTTTAGCTGTGTGTCCTCTACCAGCGGTGCTGGGTACGGCTCTGGTGTCCCATTCCTGTGCTTCTGCAGGGGGTTGCTCAGTTTATAGCAGCATTAACTATTGCAGCCCAGGCTCTGTCTTGTTTTCACGCGATGCTGTGGCTGGTTTGGAGGTTTGAGTTGGCAGAACCTCACAGATCTTTTCTCTCTGCAGTTTGGTACTCGCACGCTCAGACCTGGAGATATCCCGGGCGGTGCTGAGTGTTGGGGAGGTCCCGCAGACCCGCTGTGTAGCCCAGACCAATAAAAGCCTCCAGACCTCTCCCGTGGGGAGCCGAGTGGTGGTGGGACGATGCCTTTTCCAAAAGCAGGGTCAGACTGAGAGAGCAGGTGAAGTTTGGGACCGCGACCCTCGCTGGCAACAGCTGTAGTGTTGCACACACAGGTCCTTTCCAGCCCCTCCAAGGAGAAGACCTGGGGCTGAGCACCCATCTTGTCTCCTGGGCCCCCAGAAGCACAGGAAGGAGGCAGCATCCCCCTCGCCAGCAGCACTGGGGTTTGGGAAGGGCCCACGAGGTCCCCTCTGGGGATCAACGCTACTTGTGTGGAAGTGGGTGGGCTCGAGGTGGCCGTGAGTCTGTGAGAGGGGTCGTAGTGAGCAGATGATGGGAAATCGGTGGAGGGCAGAACAGTGCGGAGGGACAGAAGGGTAGGGTTTGTCTGTCGTTGCGTATTTCTCCTTAGGACTTGTTTTCGTGCAGAAAGTTCTCAAAAATCAAACTTTGTCAAAGATATAATAGGAGAAAATACACATATATATGGCACTGGGGCCAAAAAACTGGGTTTGAACCCCTTGGAGTCTGATATGAGGGAATTTATGAGCGGCTAACAGATGAGTGAAAATCTGTCTCCAGGTAGATGTGACTGTGACTTCCAGTGGCTGATGTGATGGCTGCCGTCGCCTTGTTTGGCCAAGTGTCCTGACCCTGGAGCTGGAGGTGTTGCGCAGGGTCCCCGCTTCATCCCGCTGCGGCTTTGGGGCAGGGCTGGTGGGCTGGCTGCCCGCGCCCAGGGATCTCCCTGGTCCCCCCCGCAGCTACAGGTGTACGTGGGGGTTCAGGTTTTGCCTTTGCGAGGAGCTCAAATGCGCTATGTTAAGGCTTCGGTAAGAAAAATTAATAAAAATCAAATGTAATCCATGCTGGAGCAAGTCCTCCAGCATAACTCTTGGGCTTTATGGCTGAAAAGATCCCAGTGCTGTCATACTGCACGTGCCTCGGAGGCACTCTCTGAGCAGATAAAAATATATCTGTTCTGTAAGAGAGGAATTTATCTTTTTCTTTTTTTTTTTTTTTTTTTTATTTTTGCGTAGAAAGTGCAGTCCTGCTTTATTGTTACTTAAACACAGAATTCCTTTTATGAACCATAAACGACATTCAGGTGTAGCACAGTGACTTTAAATCAGCTCCTCTGGCAACCATTTAGATAGTGGATCGTAAGAAACGCCTAACTGGCCTGTTTCTCCTTTGGCTAATTCATCGTTTCAGTGCTGCTGACTTTAGATACCAGCCTTTCATGAGTTCAATGAGCATAAAAGCCATTTAGAATTCCAAAGAAGCAAGAAATAACTCAGCTGTGAGCAATATTTAAGCACGTGGTGGCGGCGGCGCTGCCAAAGCTGGCTCTTAATCTGTTTCAGAGAGCTGCTTGATGAGAAGAGTTGGGCTGGTACTTTGAGAAGTGGGGCTCAGCCCCTCTGGTGGGATGCGGTGCTGAGCGGGGCGTGATGCAGTGGGGATGGGTTTTGGGGGGAGCTGATGTGTAACGAAGCCCACAGTTTGCTTTTAGCCTCCCCGCTCCATTACTGCGTGTGGCTGAAGAGCATCTGAGCCAGAGTCTGCTCTGATTTACACCCCAGCTTTACAGTAGGATAATGCTGCTGATTTAAAGGGGGCTATCCAGGATTTATGGGGCTTTTTATAAGTAGGATCAGGAATTTTAGCCGTAATCCTGTGCAAATGTATGGGTGTGAGTGCAGATGTGCGCATCTGCATCACTGATGCAATGTAATACCCACGTACAGCCATTACGCAAAGACAAAATAATAGCAACACAACAGATAATAATGATGTGAGGTTACTTTTGCAAAAGTCCTTGCATTGCAGGGTTATAATATGATTCAAACCAGGCTCACAAAGATCCTCTGGTGGATAATCCGGCTGTAACCCTAAAGCATGTGTCTAACCCTAAAGCATGACTCTTCTAACATCCACTGTCATGAGAAAAATCAGTCTCCTCCCATTTTGGTAATCACTGGAAAAAAAAAAAAATCACTGTTTTCATTTAAGTCTTGATCTATTGTTTTTCTGGGATTATGTGGAATGTGTGCAAGGCCTTAGCTAAAGATTTCTATCCTGGAAGCACTATAACCTCACAGGACCAAAGAGATACCAACATCCCAGTGATGCTGTGAATCCAGGGAGACCGCTCAATCCTATGGCTAAAATACTGAGTAGGATGCTCTTCATCACTGGAGTGAGAACGTCAGAATAAGGGCTTTCTGGTTATTTATTATATTCTGCTTATTATACAGGGCCACGAAGATGCTGGGGGGGCTGGAGCAGCTCCCCTGGGGGGCCGGGCTGAGAGAGTTGGGGGGGGTCAGCCTGGAGAAGAGAAGGGGCCGGGGAGCCCTTCGAGCGGCCTCCCAGGGCTTAAAGGGGGGACAGGAGAGGTGGGGGGGGACTCTGGATCAGGGGGTGTGGGTAGGACAAAGGGTGATGGTTTTAAACTGACAGAGGGCAGATTTAGCTTAGAACTAAGGCAGAAATTCTCCCCAGTGCGGGGGGTGAGGCGCTGGCCCAGGGTGCCCAGAGCAGCTGTGGGTGCCCCCTCCCTGGAAGGGTTCAAGGCCAGGTTGGACGGGGCTGGGAGCCCCCTGGGCTGGGGGAAGGGGGCCCTGCCCGGGGCAGGGGGGGCTGGAACCAGATGGTCTTGAAGGTCCCTTCCAACCCAAACCACTCTGTGATTCTGTGATTTACTTTACCCAGCAGGTACGTGTCTTTACAAGAAAGTTCTGGGAACCAAGCGGACCCTCTGCAGATGTCAGCGGGCTTGGCTTCCATGTGAAGTATAAAATCAATGCAACTCAACAGCTTCACTTCAACAGAGGGTCTGGGCTGTTGTATGTCGTACGCTTCTTGACATCATCTGGTTTTAAGCCAGCTCCGATGATGGATGTTTTTGCCTCTCACCTCTAGGTTAGGGGGGAAAAAAAACAAACCCCTATCATGTTTGCTGTCTGTACAGTACTATTTCCAGACTAAAGAAAAAGAGTTAAATTACATTTTAACGGAACAATACCAAAAACAGCAAAGGTCAGGCAACTTCTAAGTAAGGTCACCCTATCGATTGCAACAGTGAAAGGATAGACATCAAATACTTTGCCATGAAAGGCTGAAAAGAAGTAAATTCAGCATGTTATATTGAAACCCAAGTCTCTTTCATATGTTGCAGAGCCTCTGACATAGCAGGTTTACTGTTCAAGCTGAGATATGTTGCCTTGCCAACATATATTCTGAGTTACCCAAGCAGATTTAATGTTTTTTGGAGTAGTGACTATTCTCTGTTTTGGGGGACACTTTTCTTTTTCTTTGCAAAAAATTGTTGCAGAAGATCTCAAACCTACCTAGGAAATGACCTTAATCAATTTAGTTCCACCGATGAGTATGAAAACTCAGATCTTTCTTTTTGCTTTCTCTAAACATTGTCTTGCTTGCATTGAGTAGGGTGACCGAGTCACAGCTTGATAGGAGAGTGCGTTTTG